ACTTACCTCATTAGCTCTTTTAATTATTTTGTCATCTATGTCTGTGATCCCCATCACCATGACTACTTCCTTTCCAAATATCTTGGTTATTATCCTTCGAATAATATCAAACTTAACATAAGAGCTGGAAAAAAGGGCACATATGTTACAGGAAACATAAAAGTCATCATGGCACATCAAAGTGCTACAAACCTGCAATTATCAGTCTCTTTGGATGCTGGGAATAGTAACCTGCATGCAGTAATATATCCCAAAAGTCTTGCAGCAGTGTAAATATTTGATTTGCTGTGAGTTCTATGGATGAGAGATCACTTCAGCAAATGCACATAGTATTGACCTAAATCGGTACATTATTTAATACTTTTCTGTACACACACATGTATGGATAGTGTGAACAGTGAGGTAATTAATCACTAAGCATCCAGGAAGAAAATATTCTACATTTGGGTATCATAGCCACAAACTGAAGTTCAGGCAAACAAAATTGTATATGGCAAATCTTCAGCCACGTGTTGCTTCAGATATCCACCCCACACACCCCCGAGGCGATCACAGGCCGGAAATGGGAGAAAACTGTAATTTCCCCCATTTGATTTTTTAGTTCATGTACTAATGCCAATACTGCTTGTATTTATTTTATAGTTTTAATGTTTTTACTATGTTGTATATCACCCAGAGCCCTACGATAGTAGGGACTGGGCGGTTCATAAATGTAATATAATAAATCATTTTTTACTCAGACAATCCATAAAGATGCTTCTGAATAAAAGGTGTGAACTTCATATTCATATTGCAAGCCACCCAGCAATGCTCCTTGCCAGGAACTGTACCGGGTCCTTTGGCCACAGTCACCTCTGTTGAATGCAGGAGTACTCAGACGCACTCATGTGCTTGCAGAGGGGTCATCTTGCCATGGCATAATCAAAGGAAGAGGCTTTTACATCTGATTCAATAAGGCGCTTTTTGAACACTGCTCTCAGTTATACAGTCCGGCTAAGCAATCAGATTCAGTTCAAGACGGCTGGGGAGTCAGACTATTCTCCACAGACATAACAGAAAGAACATGATTAACGTTTTTTAAAATGTAAACCAGTCATTCCACAAGGGAGAGTGCAACCCATGGCCTGATCTTCACTCATCACAGCAAAAGGGAAGCGAAGTAATATCTATAAACGATCTGTTGCTATGTTTTGTAGCTTTTAAAATTTCCTCTTTGCAAACCAGTTCAGCAAGCCAGATCACAGGGGGAGGACAGCAAGTGTTGTACTAACCTGAACTCTGTCTCTTTTTCTACTAACTTGGTGTTTAACACTCTGCTGATACCTGAAATCTGTACACCTCCCAACTGTACATCTTCCTTTTCATTATCTACACAGGGTTGGAAACAGTCAGTGAAATGAATGTTGACCTTTTCTGTGTTCCCCTTTTCTGATGTCAGAGAAAGAGGTGAGATTTCACCCTTTTCCCAAATACAAGCTCCCCTACCCAAATGGTTGTTAGTACACAAAAATCCCATGATTCTATTTTCTAGGGTTTGGAAAGGACTGCTGGGGGAAGGGAACATGGCCAAGGTCACCACCTTCTGCTGATGGTACTCAGGGTCCAACCTACAGGTTGCTTATGTGTACTGGAACACATTTTGGGTTTCCCTTGCTCCTGCCAGCTCTACCCATCTGGGTTTGATCAGCGGCAAGTACATAAAAGTCCATAAGAGCTTCTAAAGCCACTTAAGAACTGCAGTACAGCAGCAAACACACTAGAGTGTTGGATTTAGATGTGGGGGAAATTCAGAATCTTAGCAACACATTTCACCATGTGGTCTTGAGCAAGTTGCCTTAGGGCAGCTTTTGTAAAAAAAAATTAAAACAATGAAAATTATTGGCATTAAATCAACAGCAGGCATAAAAATAAAAGTGCAGCGGCAGCAACAAATAGTTAACTGAAAAGAGCAAAAGCATTAGGTAATAAGTAAACATCAACAAAGTCAAAGTAGCAGGATACTGAACAGAACATAAGTAGCAGTGATACAGAATATATAAAAGCCAGGATGAATAAGAAAGGTCTCAAGGTGCACCCAAAACTGAACAAGCTCAGCACCAGTCAGATGCAGAGTGAGCATTCTGCAACCAAAGTGCAACAACAGCAGAGGTCCCATTCTCCCGTGACCTTATTTCAAATAGGTGGAGCACAGAGAACAAAGTTCGGCTCCCAACTCTTTGGAGAAAGAGTCGGATACAATTATAATGGAAAAAAAACATGTGTCACAAAGACCCTAGTGGGTTAGAAAAGAAAAAGACTGTGCTTCTTTCTCTCCTCATGCCTTAAGATCTGAGACAGCTGCACTAGGAAGAGATAAAGGACAGTCCAAAGTTACAGCTAAGAACGTTTTTGCTTGGGAAGATCCAGCAGAAAGACTGTTCTTGACTTTTTGACTGAGGTCAGCGTGAGCCATTATAGTCTGGATCTCAGGGAAGTACTTTCTCCCAGTCAGTTTCCCACCTTCTCTACATCTCGCTTGGGTGCACTGAACTAGATTTACGGCTCATCCTGCAGACATCGCACAGACTACACTTCACTTACACGATCTGAAATAGTGAGCAGTGACTCATGAAAGCTCATACCCTGCCACATATTTTGTTAGTCTTTAAGGTGCTACAGGACTCTTTTTTCTACTTCGCTTACGGTCACTCTTATGTGCTTGACAGAGCATATTTGAAATAATACCATTAACCACCGCTAATATGCACATAATCCAATGCTGGCTTGCAGAAAGCAGTCTTCAGTATAAGTAAATAAAATCTAAACTCACCAAGCATGCCCAAGGTGTGCATGATCATACACTGTTGGCCCACAGCTGTACCTGTGAACAAGATTGAGATCTATTGAGAAAGTCACAGAGATAACTTTGCTTTCAGTCACACGACATGAAGCACAATTTTAAAAGGCTCATCAACCGCTCTGCCAGCTGGATGAGTGGAATGAAATGGATGTTGGTGCTGTGACTTGCTAAGGAAACATCCAAATGTGGGGGGGAGGGTATACCAAAATTGGGAAGACAAGCACTGCAAATTTGCTGGTTCAAACCTTAAAATGGGAGATCAGCACCAAACTCGTGGCCCTTTCTTACATGCCCAGGGAAATGCCGATCACCACTTTGGGGTCAGGAAGCAATTTTCTCCAGGCCAGTTTGGCCAAGGAGCCTGGAGGGTTTTTTGTCATCTTCTGGGGGTGTGGGAGGGGAAGGTATCCAACTCTATGATTCTAAACAAGGGATCAGGTCAGGGGACGCGGAGTTAAAACCAGGACCTATGCAGAACACTATGGCCTCCAGCTTCAGAGACCTCTTCAGGCCAAGCAAGGATTCCTCAAATCAGGCTTTTTGATACACAAGCAGCAACACAGTCCTGGAGTGAACCTTCAACCTGGAGTATGTCCTTGCCTGACCATCAGAACAGAACTCCCTGGATCAAAGCCATCAGGCATTCTGCTTCCTCTAGCTTTGCCCATCCCCAAAGCTCAATCCTTGACACATTTTTCCAATTCATCCTTGCTGTCATTTGCCACTTACTCAGGCCTGAGGTTGTGCCCATACTGCTGTAGCCCTGATCTGCTTACAATTTACTACATGTTTCTCCGGAGGAGATCGCGGACCCTAGCTAGAGCGATTATTCTGCAGAATCCTTCTAATTCCCTGCTGCTTCTTTCCTACTCTGCAGGCTTAGCAATAACGCTGCGATGCAACTTCAGGGCTAAATAAAGTGGCAGTCCATCTGGCAGCTCTGAGAGCGAGTCAAGAACTGGCAGACGGGTTAAGGAGCAAGCCCTGGAACCAGACAGCCTAATCTACAGCACAATCCCAAGCAAAGTGGCATATGTCTTACACTTTGAAGGGTGTAACTCTGCTAAGGTTGCCATATCCAGGCTGGGAAACTCCTGAAGATTTGGGAAATGGAGTCTGTGGAGGACAGGGACCTCAGTGGGGTATAATGCCATAGAATCCACCCTCCAAATTATCCATTTTCTCCAGGGCAACTGATCTCTGTAGTCTGGAGATGAGTTGTAATTCCAGGGGGGCCCCAGGTGTGCGTGCACACAAAAATGTATGCCTTGAATAAAGCTCTGTTGCCAGGCCCCCCCCCCCCCCGCCCATTATTCTTTCTCCACACGAGGTGAAGTTATGCCGACCGGTTTGCTGCCTGCAGTGTTACAAAAGCAGAGAAGCCGGGTGCGGAGATGCCAACCCGAGCCCACAGTTTCCTAAACAGTCTACCAAGTCACCACATCCGCGTTGCCCAGGATGAGCGGCTCCTTGCTTCTGCTCAGGCTGTTGTAGGTCTGGATGCCGGTGTCACAGCCCGCGGGCTTGACCCACTTCGTCCCGCCCTCGGAGAGCGCAGAGCACCACCTCCTCCGGGGAGCCTGGCCCGGCGGCCCCCGCTGGCCTCCAGCGGCCGCGGCACAACTCGGCCTCCTGCAGCGCTTCAGCCACCGCAAAGCGGCGGGTCTCGCACAGCCGCCCCAGGAAAGCCACGGAGCGCCCAACATGCCGTTTGCAATGCAGCCGGACGCCCCCGCCGCTCTTGCAGAAATGGCTACTCCAGCATCAGCTGCTCAGCAACGCACCAGACGCGTGGCCAGGGGGTGGTGTCAGAGCCCCGGCAGGCTCCTCCTTCTCTCCCCCAGGAGGGAGGCGCTGTGTGAGCAGTGTAGCTGCCGGCAGGAAGGAGGGAGGGAGGTCCAGACAACCCTCTCCGGCTGTAGCGCACAACAGTCGCCGCCTGTGCGCCTACTGCGGAGAGCGGTAGCTACAGCCAGAAACCAGCAGGAAAAGGAGGAGCTTTCGGAGCTCTTTGGCTGAGGGGGGGTAGGAGAAGGCGGAGGGGAGGATGGGTGGGTGATTCTAGCTGTCAGAAAATGCTTCGGGTACCGCGGCTTTTTGCAGTTTTCTCTTTTTCTTCCCCACTTTCCCATTGGCCTTGTAGGTTTTCACCGTCTTGGTGTAATAGATTTAGTTGTCCTTAATTAGCGGCTGAATCTTATACGCGGTGCCTTAAGGAAGAAACATCCAAGAGAATTTACTTCCTGGTAAATTGTCCAAAGACAAGTTTTTATTTTGCTAACTCGGAGTATTCTGGTTTCACTTGTGAATAAAGGAAAACAATGATGTTGTGTATTTAAATATTATAGGAGCGCTGAAGACAGCCATGTTATTTATTTATTTTTAAAGTGTGCCTTGCACAGGAAAGCTCGTACCTTGAATAAACCTTTGTTAGTCTTAAAGGTGCCACTGGACTCTAAATTTGTTATTTTTTAATGTTTTACTTGTTCACGAAAATCACTCTTTAAGTTTCCAGTAGAGATCATGACACTGTAGTAAGTTACCTGTGCTGAAAGTTCATTATTGTTTTAATCGAGCTTTAAAATATATTGTAAGCTTTTCAACAGAATGCTATAGAAATGCCAGACCAAGAGTTATGAGGATGATACCTTTCAGTGGATTAACCTATATAAACGATGTTTTTATCATCAGAAGGTATCAGGTGTACCAGAAAAGGGCATTGCATCACCTACTGTATTTTGCAACACAAAATATCAGGATGTTTAAAAAGTTATTTAATATATAAGGATATAAATATAACGTGGTTTCAGCCTGGATCCTAAAATGTAATCTTACAACAGTTACTAGGAACACAAAAGTGCTTGGTCTGATTTAGAATATTGAAAAATGCTTGGAAATCTCTTTGTTCTTCATTTTGGCTGCTAGTGTAACTTTTGCTAGTACTGTCTTGATAGAGTTTTAGGCTGTCCTATGAGAGAACTCTCAGGTTTATTTACTTCATTTATACCCACTTGTCTCCCCAAAGGGGACCTGGTTTACAACATTCTCCTCTTCTCCATTTTTATCCTCACAGGAGCCCTGTGAGGTAGGTTAGGCTGAGGCAGAGTGAATGGCCCATGAGGACACCCAGGTCATGACTTCCATGGCTTGAAGCCTGGGTTGCCCAGATCCAAATCCAACTCTAATCTGTACATCCTGCTGTAAATGAAATGCCCTTGAAGGATATTCCCCAGAGGCCATGAAAATCTGTATTGCTCCCCAAAGTAGTGTAAATGTTTTTAGAATTATCATGATCCAACCAACATTAAGCATGTTAGGTCCTGATGAGTTCTGTGGCAAACCAAAGTCACATGTGCATTTTAGAACACTTTAATTATTACTCCAGGATGTTGCTTTCCTTTTATTAGGGTCCATTACTGCATTTCATAAATTATATCTTTTTCCATTATAAATATTTTTACTAGGTGGGGACAAGCTGTTGTGAGAAGACACTTACTTCCCCATCTGCCTATCACAGATGCTGGGTCCATATTGCCTTGCAGTAAACTTGGGTAATCCCAGTGTGATCCTGGTAGCTTAACCTACCTGACTGCCATTCCCTTGCCATATATCCCCTCTCCCCTGGGAAAAATGGGGGGGGGCATCTAACAAAAGTGTTGCTATGTGCTACTATCTTCCATCCTTTTGGAAGGGGGGGGCAAATCCTTCCACCCCTCTAAGTAGCAATCAGAGCAGAGGAAAGGGGTAGAACACTAAAAGTGAAAGAATGCTAACACAGGCCCTCGGGATATCTGACTTGCCTAACTAGGCAAGCCCTGTGAGAGCTTTTATAGTTCTGCAGGGCCTGCTAGACGGAGCTCTTCCACCAGGCCTTCAGTTGAAGCAGTAGGTATCCAATTCAATCTGCCCCCCCCATGAGTCGCTCTTATGTGTCTGTTGAGGTATAATTTATTTTAAAATATTAGTGTTTTACTAATTGTATTGTATTTATTGTGTCATGTGTATTTTGTTATTCTGTTTTTATTATGTAAATCTGCAGTCAGCAGTTTATTATAGGTTGGAACCTGCCCTGAGGGAGGGTAGGATATAATTTGAAGGAAATAAATAAAAATTTAAAAACATAGTTCTAAACAGTTCTACCCATTTAAGCCTTTTGACTTCAATGGATTTTAAAGGGTGTAATCTGTTTAGAATTGCACCATATATGTAACAGTCATGTGCCCCACACCTCTGTAAAAGTAGGAGAAGTTCAAATGTGAAAAAGCCATTCCCAAATATGTTCTTAAGGAAAAAGGCTTCATGGAGGGGTAAAAGTGTGTTTCAGTTAAGAACACAGCAACAGCTGAGATGGACCATACTTGACAGTCCATCTAGTTCAGCATCATACTTCATCCAAGCAGGGCACAGAGGACAAAGGAAACCACCACCATCCCTTCTTGGCTCTCCAGCTCTGGTATTCTGGGGATTACATGCACAATCACTAAAATTCACTGATGAATCAACCCTCCATAAACTTCTCTCTCTCTCTCTCTCTCTCTCTCTCTCTCTCTCTCTCGGCTGTCAACTTGCAACGGACTTATGGCAACCTCATAGTGTTTTCAAAGCAAGAAATGAACAGAGGTGATTTGCTGTTGCCTGTCTCTGTGTAGCGCCCCTGGAATTCCTTGGTGGTCTCCCATCCTAATACTACTAACCAGGGACGATCCTGCTTGTATAGTCTACTTTCAAAGCCAAGTAAAGTAGGTGTCATTGCTATATCATCTAGTGCTGAACTCCGCTACTCTTCTTATAAGGTAGTACTTTCTTTTGTTTTTCTTGACTGTATTGCCCATCAGCATTATTCGGTGGCCAGGGGTTAGGGATCTACTCTCTGCCTCATGCAGCATTTTATAAACCTCTATCATATCCCCCCCCCTTAGCTGTCTTTTTTCTAAACTGAAGCCTTTCCTCATAGGAAAGATACCTTAACCCCTTAATTACTTTGTTTGCCTGTTCCTGTACTCTTTCCACCTCTGCACTATCTTTTTTGATGTATGGTAACCAGAACTGTATACAGTTACAATGCATCTACTCGTAGGCACGCACACCCCTGGAAGCTGAAATTGGACTGTAAATCCATCTTCTTGCCAGGTCATTTAAAAGTGTGATATGAGTGCATTTACCACTGCGTATCTGTCTTTTAGAAATACAAACCATTAGTGGGAGAGGTTTTTTTAGCAAAAGGTGAAACCTGTCCCAGAAAATTAAACATGTATTTAACTCTCATTTTAAAATAAATCCTAAAGGGAACCGTGGATTGTATTCTAAATAGTCATGTAGGGGTTGGGGGATGAATATAAAATTACATGTGTGGATAAAAAAATATATATAGTATTGTGTGTGTGTGTAGTATTCAAGATGGGTTTTCTGTAAAGGTAATAGGGCTGTACTGTAATAATAATTCCAAAAGATATTTGGGTAAAGGGTATGGACTGTCCTACTGTATAGCTCATGCTGCCTGTTTCTGCAAGTAGGATCTTACTATATAATATTTGCATCATTTAACGCGTCATGTTAATATGCTCTGCTTCCCTTTTGGTTGCATCCCAATTTCTATTGCATTGGCTATTGAATGTTCCCCAAGTATTGCAAAATTCACTTTTACAGTAATGTGTGGCAGCATCTTAAGAGAGCACTATTAAACATTGGTTGAATTTATTTTCTGTCTGCTGTGGTTAGTGTCCAACTGGGATCTGGTAGACCCAGGTTCAAATCCTCACTCTGCCATGGACACCTACATGGATGACCTTGGGCCAGTCACATACACTCATCCTAACCTACCTCACAGGGAAAGAAGAATGATGTAAGCCACTTTGGATGCCCTTTGAGAAGAAAGGAGGAATATGAAGTAAATAAATAAACTGAATTAGACAAAGGATGTATCTGAGAAATGTTTAACAATGAAGATGCTTCTACACACTGTTTTGGTTGCAGTCAAGTAAATGAAGTTGAATCAAAGTGCTATCAACAGAACTAGTGTCATATCGGCATAGCGGCAAAAATAAAAGGCAGACCAAGTTGGGATTAGCCTCCCCGCCCCAGCTAATACTGTGCCCACATCGTACCTTGCCTTGAAGCAGATATTCTTTGCCTCCATGCCAAAGTCAGCTCCACTTGGATTCTAGAAGACTGCAAGCACCGAACATCCCTTAAGGGACTCTGTTCCACTTTCTGCCAGGCAGGACTACTTGCACAATGTAGGGAAGAGGGAGCGCATGAAGTGCCCACTAACAGATCGGAAGGTGCTTGCTGCCAGGGAAGCAGGCAAAAAAAAGGGGGGGGGGGGGGGTGTTTCCTATACTGTATACATTTTTGTTGGCGATGGTTGGTTGGTTGGTTGGTTGGTTGGTTTTAAAAGCTTCTGAATGTCACAGCCATTGTTGCTTGGTGCAGAAAATGCAGATGGGAGGAGAGAATCAACCCTTACTCATTGGTAACCGAGGAAAGACAACAAAGCACCGTGTCTTTTGAAGAAACTCCTCCTCTCTCTGCCATCACCCATGATTCACTGTTTGATCGTAGCCGAAACGCAGAGCTGCGAATCTGTGCCTCCTGAGAAAGAGGCTCCCCCTCCCATCAGAGCTGCTTCAGTTCTCTTTCCTTGGGAGGAGAGAAGATGGAAGAAAGGAAGCTACTTCTGGGGAAAGGAGTTTTTTTTCCTGACGGCATTACAATTGCGCTGTCTTGGCAGGTGGTGGTGGTGGGGAGAGTTTGATTGTGGATGCTGTTTCCTCTAACATATCTGTTAGATTCTGGCTTTTAGATAAATCCCCCTCCCTTTTTCACAAGGACTTTTGCTTCCAGAAGCTGAGATATGGTTTTTCCTGACGGCATTATAATTGTGCTGTCAAGGCAGGTGGAGGGGGTTGATTATGTATGCTGTTTCCTCTAACATATCTGTCTGTTAGATTCTGGGTTTTAGATAAATCCCCCTCCCTTTTTCACGAGGACTTTTGCTTCCAGAAGCTGAGATATTACATCAGATAAGTAAATGTGTAGTGGGGGAGCGATGCATGCATCTGTGTCCCTCTTGCATCTTCAGTAAAGATTTTTTCGTTGTACAGTCTGATTAGCCCCTCGCTCTTTGGTGATGGAAGGGTAGCTGCCTGTTGTTTTTAATTCCCCTGCCCTTATAGATATACTAGGCAGGATTTTGCCATTTTTCTGTTGTGACCGATGCTTGCTGAATACTCCATCTCTGCAATGGGCATTTACCGCCATCTCTGCCCCTTAGACTAGTTACAGTTAAGCACAGAGCCGTTCACTACCGAGGTTTTTAAACTTAAAAAATCTAGGAATGCATGGCCCCCATTCTGTGTGCCTTAAAGATCAGAGCAAAAAGGAGGGAGTTTTGTGTTTATTTCCTTTGCATCTGTCATTCATTTCTCTAACACATCCTCAAGCTACAGAATGCCTTAGTTTCTGAACAACCCAGTGTGGTAGGTTAAGATGGGGGAAGATTTGTTCCAAACCATGCAATGAGTTTAAGCGGTATTTTGAAAGAAAGGAAAAATTCCCATACCCTACACCTTGTTGCCTTTCCCCTTGGAAAATTCTTTTGGGTTTTCAAGAGACCAGCGGAAGACTTCAGAAGTGACATTTGCTTAACTCCAACCCCGGGCTATTCTTGTCATTCGCTTCTCGGGCTGCAAAGATCCTTCAGTCAAATAACTCTCCTGCTGCCTCCTCGTGAACTAAGACCGCATTCTTCTGGCCTTACCTCGATGCCCTCGTCGTCCCCCAAGTCTACTTTCCTCCACCCCAAGGTTATCACAAGGCTACTTTTAAACCAGCACGGCTTTTGCAGGGATCATTACCCCGGGTACAATGTTAAGATCTTGGGAAAGTGCATTTGAATACATCCGAATGAATTAACCAATGACTGTCTATCAGGACATCTCTCTGGGCCGGATAGTGATCTTGCTCCTTCAACACACGCGTTTTCCTCCTTTTGTTTTCTGCAGCTGAATGTGCTTTGATTTTCAGATCAGCCAAGCTTAAAAGTCCTGGGACTACCCCCATCTCAGACTGCAATGGCGACAGCCCAGGCGCATGCGGCATTGCAAAAGAAAAAGAGGGCTATAGGGAAATGTAGTTCATTTTTTCCACCTCCCGCCCTCCATTTTCTTTTCGCCTACGGCTGAGATTTGCGCATGCACTCCTTTTTTCCCCGTCGCTTCTCTCTTCCGGCCCTATGATTCCAACCTGCCATTGGATAGCTGAGCGGAGGGGTGGAGTAAGAAGTGAAGTTTGATTGGGCAGTGGCGCTGTCCTTACAGGATTACAATTATTGATGCAGTTGCTCTGCTCCGGTGGTTAGTTTCAGAAAGGGAAGGAGAAATTCTCCCACCCGGTTAAAGCAAAAGTAGTTCTGGAGACTGGGGACCCTCGATGCACGGAGAGGTGGCGGGGTGCGTGCATTAGCGTGCGCATACGGCGAGGGGTTTCTCCACCGTTGTGTTTTTGTCCTTTCATGTGTCAAAAATGAAGGCTCAGGCTGAAACGGTAGGAGGAGAGAAGAGACCTTGGCCGTCTGCCGCAGGGGTGGCAGTCAACTCCTCAAAGTTTGTGTCGCTCTCGCTAAGGAAGTGCAAAGGCCCCGAGGCCCCGACGTAACTCTCGCGCAGCCTCTCCAAACCGACCTGTCGCTAGACCGACACACAGGCCGGCTCGAACAGGCTTGCCGAAACACCCTGCCCGCAAACTTCAGTCTTTCGCTCCTTTATAAACACACACACACCCGCCTCGGTGACTTTGGGGTTTTTGTAGCACTGCCCGCCCCAACTTCCCGCTTCATGTCCTAAATCAACGTGGGGCACCCTTCAACCTTCTCTTTGTGCATTAAGAAAGGAGCAGCCCCCCAGGCGCATCAGAATTGTTTTGCTGTGCACACAAAAGCTCCCCCCCCCCGCCCCGTGCACTTTCGGCAGCAAAAGCGAGACCCGTGAAGCTCGCCCCCCCTTGCAATCTCACTTCCTCCTCCGAGGCTGGGGGAAGAAAGAGGGGGCTGGAAAGAATGACTATATAGACAGATAGAGGCACATTAAGCGTCGCGGCGGCTGGACTGGGAAGGGGGGGGGGAGAGTCGGTGGTGGCAATGGGAGTGGTGCGCAGGCGCACTGGGTGGCGGGGCTGAATGTTTCCCAAGTGTTTGAAACTGGTATTTGGGTTTTCCACGTTGGATCAAGTGCGGCGTACAGGGAAGGCTGCATTAATTTCACCGGCGGAACAGGAGCAGCTGCGTACGCGGAGGGAAGCTTCGCCTCCTTTTCGGCCGGGCAGTTTCCTCCGCGACCGGGTTTTTGCTTATTTATTTATTTATTTATTATTTGTCTGCCTGTCTTCGGAAGATCGGGGTTTTTAAAGAGCTCTCTCTCTCCCCCCCCCTTTCTTTTCTCCCTCCTTTCCCTTGTACACACACACGCACAAATCCCTCTGATTGTTCCTACCACCTCCTCGGTGAGTTACCGACAACGACAGCCATTCAATCAGCTGCTGGCTGCTGGCTGTAGAGACTCGCGGACGGTGTGTGTGAACGCCTGCCTTGCCTTGCCTTGCCTTTCTGATCGCCGAAGAAAAGACTCCAAAGGTGGCTTTTTACCCCTTTTCGCCGTGGTCTTTTCGGTTGGATCCGAGGCACAAGAGAGGGACGGAGAGAAGAAGGCGGCTTGAGGATTGAGCCTCTGCCATTTGGGGCTGCTGTGTTTGAAAGGGAAAACTCTCGCCCGTTCGGGGTGAGAGGAGAAGGAAGATATAGACAGCATATTTATTTATATTTGGGGCGGATGAAAATGTTGAACCCTGCAAACGGAGAGCCGCTTCATCTGGCGAACTATGTGGAGGATTACCTGGACTCCATCGAATCTCTGCCCTTCGATCTGCAGAGAAATGTCTCCCTGATGAGGGAAATCGACGCCAAATATCAAGGTAAACTGCCTGGCTCCTTTTATGTGTGAAGAGTGTGTTGAAGGCTGACCTAGTCCTTTTTATTTCCCCTGCAGAGATGATGATCTCTCGTCGGGGTCCCGCTTCCTTCCCCTCTCCCCGGTTTCCCCACGCTTCATCCCAAAGCGGAGGGTAGCTTTAAAAAACAACAACAACAACAACAACAGTGTATTTTGTTGCGAGAAGGCATATGAAGAGAGAGGGGAAATGTGGGGGGGCTGTTGCTTGCTTTGCAGCCGGTAGCTCCCCCCCCCCTCCCCTTTCCTTGGGGCGGAACAAAAGGTCTTCTTTGGGGGGCTTCTCTTTATGAAGCAACAGGACTGACCTACACTGTTAATTTTTTAAGGGTTTTCAAAAAAGTAAAGAAAAGCCGGGCGCAGAAAAAGCGGCGGTAGCGGCAGTAGGGTGAGAGGAGGGGCAGGGAATCAGGACGCATGGGGCACCGAGGCGGCTGTTTCTTTTCTGTGTGTGTGTGTGTGTGTGTGTGTGTGGCTGGAGAGAAAGAGGGAGAGGGGGAGAGAGAAAATGTTTTCTGGCCGCTATGGGAAAGTGCTGGGGGTGAAGACGAGAGAGGAAGAAGAAGAAGAAGGGGAGGTGGAGAAAGAGAAGAGCGATTACAGCACAACATTGAGGAATTTCTAGTATTCGCAATGGCTGTAGTAGGAGAGGGTGCTAGTAAGAGAGAGAAGGGAGGGAGGGAGGAATTAGACCGAGAGTGGGAAGAGGGGGGTGGGCAGGGCTTGTTGCCTTCGTTCCCTCTCCTTATGGGTTTTTTTTTCTTCAATGGGGTTTGCTTTTAAAAGCAAGTCTCCCTCCCTCCCCTCAAGTCTTTTAGTCGAAGGGGGGGGATGCAAAAAAGAAAGGGGTGGTGGGTGGGAGATAGATTATATAAATACTGTGTGGGCTGGGGATGTGCAGCTTGCTGAGTGGAAACCCCCCCCTCCTTCCCTCCTCTCTCTCCTTTCCCTCTCCGCAGAAACTCATACAGTATTTTTGCAGCTCTTGGAGAGCGAGCGAGAGAGCTCTTGTGTCTCTCCCCTCCGCTCACTCTGCAGTTGGAGGAAATGGTGGTTTTAGTTAGTGTGTGTGCCGGGGGGGGGGGGGGGGGGGGGGGACGGGGGGGAGGTTTTGTCATCTGTGCGAGGTGGTGGTAGGGGGGGGGAGGAAAGAGTACTACGGCCGGCGGTAGAGGTGACACCGGGGTGCCCGTTACGGATTTCGCTCTCCTTCCCCTCGCTGGCGTGTGTGGTGCATGTGCTCGTGTGGTGGGGAAACCTGGCCGATTCTTGCTGCGTGTGTGGGGTGGGGAAGAGCAGCAAGTACCCATCTGAGAGCTTTTCCTCTGGCGACGGTGTGTGAGTTTCCCCCCGTCTCTCGTGAGGCGGACACGGTGGGGACGACTGGTGAGAAAAGGGAAGCGCCGGGGCTCAACTTGCCTGGGGGGGGGGAGTGTAGGCTCAGGGACCGGGGCAAGGAACTGGAAGGGGGGGGAAGAGTACTATTAAAGGACAGGGCGGGCATTTCAACCCGCTCTCCACACTCTCGACTGCGCTAAAGGGAGGCGCCACAACCTCTCAGCGCTAGAAAGAGCGAAAAGCGCCGTCACAGCGGCTTTTATAGGGTACCGTTATTACCCTATTGTGTTCGCCCCGCCTCCCTCTTCCTTTATTGGCTGAAGGTGCCCTCAGGGACCACCCACCACCCCGCCCTGCTGCTCTCTGATTAGTTCCCCTGAATTCTCGGCAGAGGCCCGCCTCCCACTGACGTTGATGAAACTGGACGGTGGAGGGGACCGTGAGGGTTTCTTGTAATAGTTCGAACTGCCCCGTCTGCTCCTCAGAGGCTGATTGGCTCCCATAGTTGCAGGAAGCGTAAGATGCCTCTCTGTGACTGACGCATTGATGCGAAAGACAGGGGCTGGTCCTCGCTCCTCCCTTCAAAGCCTAAGCGGAACAATCGCTTTCGAAATAGGCGGAGACTACCTTGGGGCTTTCCCTTCTGATTGGTGTAGGAGCTCTGGAGGGTGTGGGCAGGGCTACTAGCGTGGCTCCTTAGCCTGAGTGGTCGGTTTCTTCCGAGGCGGGCTCTAGAGCGACGGAGGAGAGATCCTGATTGGACGGCTAAACTAGTAGCAGAGTGCAACGGTTTAAAGGGATTTACAACGGTTAGGGACGGGAGGCAGATGTTCGCCATGTGAACGCCCGTAAGTACACCGGTTGGAACCGGCACCCTAACCGTTGTAAATCCCCCATCTGAACGCTCTTCCAGTCCCTGAATAGACTCGGGCCCGGTAAGGGCAGAGGGGCGGGGCATGGAAAGAGATTTCTCCCCCCCCCTTCCCGCTCAGGAGCGCGCGCGCTGTGTTCTTGCTCCGCCCCTTAGAGGGGTCTCTTGGTGCTATGAGGAAGGGCCGAGAGGGGGCGGGGATTGGGGTGGCTTCATTTCAACCGCGCGCCTGACCTTGATAGGCTCCTCCTCATCAAGCAGTCTTCTGAGGGAGGGATTCTTCCCTCGGCCGTCTGTTTAAGAACAAAGTTTGAGTCCAGTGGTACCTTTAAGACCAACAAAGATTTACTCAAAGTCTAAGCTCTCTGAATAAAACTTCGTTGGTCTTTAAAGGTGCCACTGGATTCAGACTTCGTTCTAAATTTTTTTCTTCTTTCTTTTTTTTTTTTAATTAAAAGGTTTTGCTAATGAAACTAGCACGTTAAAAAGACCAGAACATACATTCCCACTTTAGGAATATTCATGTGTTATGGGTTGAGCAAACCCAGGTTTTAAATGATGCCATTCTGGGTATCTGATTATTATTTCTATAGCTGTTACTGAAAGCCTGTTTAGTTTCACTCGCAGGGGGTGGGGGAGCCAAATTCAAACATAGCTAAAATGTGTGGAAACAGCCTTTCATAAATCTTGTTCAAATGTTGGGGGTGGGGGGGAGAATCAGTAAATGTGGCTGTCCAGATTCAGTCACATTCTCCTGAGAAGGCCACTCGCTTCAGTTAAGGCTAACTGCAAATTAATCTCATGTGGAGATATACTGTTATTTTTAAACAAATGATTCATTTCAAAGTAAGCTCATTTTTCCATGCATCTTCAAAGTATCTGCTTGGAATAAGTGTTAATTATACTATGGAAAGGTTGGGGAGATGTCATCACTTTCCCTCCTCCCCCCAACCAATACTTAGATAAAGCTGAAGAAACTATGCTGGCAAATTATGTAGTCTTATTCTTTCTTCACAGATATTTTAAAGGAACTGGATGATTATTACGAAAAATTCAAACGAGAGACTGACACGGTACAGAAGAGGCGGTTGTTGCACTGCATACAGAGAGCATTGATCCGGAGCCAGGAACTAGGAGATGAAAAAATCCAGATCGTCAGTCAGATGGTAGAACTTGTTGAGAATAGAACTAGGCAAGTTGACAGTCACGTAGAACTGTTTGAAACCTGCCAAGAGATTAATGACACGACTGGGAACAGTGGCAAAACAAACCAAGACAAGTCAAAGAATGAGACAATCACTCAGGCAGAGAAACCTAACAACAAGCGGTCTAGACGGCAAAGAAATAATGAAAATCGAGAGAATGCTTCTAATAACCACGATCACGATGATATCACTTCAGGAACTCCAAAAGAGAAGAAGGCAAAAACGTCCAAGAAAAAGAAGAGATCCAAGGCCAAAGCAGAGAGAGAAGCGTCCCCCGCAGATATCCCTATTGACCCCAACGAGCCGACATACTGTTTGTGTAATCAGGTCTCCTATGGAGAAATGATTGGCTGTGATAATGATGAATGCCCAATTGAATGGTTTCACTTCTCGTGTGTGGGACTCAATCATAAGCCAAAGGGCAAGTGGTACTGCCCCAAATGTAGAGGAGAGAATGAGAAAACAATGGACAAGGCACTAGAGAAGTCTAAAAAAGAAAGGGCCTACAACAGGTAGTTTCTAAATCTAAGGAGAATAAAGCTGCGGAAGCATATATTTATTCTCTGTATTATCTTTTGTGGAGGTGTGAGGACTGTAAAATGTATATTTTTAAAGGAGGTTATAAATCAAACCATTCTTGTAACAGGGATGGCAATATAAGAAATGTTTGGGGTTTTTTCCCCCCTTGATATAGCTGTTAACAGGAAAATAGTCTGTGAGCCAAAACATATATTAAAGTAATGAGTTAACATTGTAATGCCCAGGCTCATTTTATGGAAAAAAATATGGTTTCACAAGTTGGTAAGACACTGCCCATCAAAATGTAGATAGTAAACATGTCTTGGATAGCATTCTGTTTTTTCTCAGAGATGAATGCTATTTGCCTTTCTAGAAAACTGTTCAACATTCAGTTTGAATAAAATAGTACTTTGCAAACTGATCCTAAATATACTGGCTACAATCTAACACAGAGTGAAACATTCTTAAACTCATTGGATTTCAGTGGGATTAAGCACAGACACATTTAACTCTGAGTTGGATTATGACCATTGATTTGGAAGTAAATTCCTGTTGTTTCAGTCATAGTTGCTTCCAAGAATTAGGATTACAGCCTTGCACCCCATTTTCAACATGTTACTGGGAACTCAAGCCCATTGGTTTTAATGAGTCTTGTTTCTAAGGGATGTGTTTGGGACCAGGGTGCTAGATTTGTTTGGTCATGATCAATGCATTAGCAAAAAGAAAGTTGCGGTATAACACCAACCTGCCAGTCTAGCAGCTTAATATCCAATGTTTAACCACAGTTACAAGCTTATTTTTAAAGATGCAAACGGTTAAATTTTACACAGCATATTTTATATACTGGCCAAGTACCATGAGGGCCTTTTTAAAAATGGTTTAGTATATTTTGTATTTAACCAGGAAGAGGTTTAGTAATGAACCTTATCATAAATCAACCTTTATACTGTCCTCAGATAATAGCGTAGCAGTCTTTACTTTGTATAAGTTGTAAAAAATGTACATTTTCAAGTAGAGTTGCACTTAACTTGTATTATAATTGGAAATGCATCCACATGCCATGGTGTAGCCAATATGCATTTCTTTATGTATGTATGAAAATTGTACAGCTGTGATATTAAGGAATAAATTAAAGAAGTTGGATAACTTTGTTCACATGTCGCTTACACGGAACATGTGGGTGTCCGTTCGCCTTGGTGAGCCTGCCTGTGGCTTCTACCATCTCTCTCTTCAGAGGTGGTAGTAACGCATATCCCTACACCTGCCACTGTTCTTTTTCCTCCTCTTACAGCACCCCACTGCCATTCATTCTCTGTCCCTTCCAGTCTCAGTACTATTGACGAAAATGCTGTTGTTTTTCTTTTCTATACCAGTATTTTTATTTATTTCCCCCTTTCTCCCCAACAGGGACCCAAAGCTGCTTATATGGTTCTCCCCATTTTATCTTCACAACAACCCTGTGAGGTAGGTTAGGCGGAGAGTGTGTGACTGGCCCAAGGTCACCCAGCAAACTTCCACAGCACAAGTGGGGGATTTGAACTCCCAGATCCTAGTCCAACACTTTTAACCACTGCTCCACCCCAGAACTACCAAAAGAAGTGCATTGTTGCTGTCTTGAAGTCCCAGCTGTTTTGTAGCCATGGAGTTGCGATATTAAATGGGGAAGAGCAATTGCGCCACATTCCTGGCCAGGATTTCTTTTAATTCTGCTTCTGTTCAAAAACAGCAGTAATACAGTCACCTATTTCTTTCTTAACTTCATTTATACCTTGCCTTTCTCAATGATGGGGACCCAAAGCAGCTGATATTGTTTTCATCTCTTCCATTTTAAGCCTCAAAACAACCCTGCGAGGTTAGTTAGTGTGTGTATGACTGGCCCAGGGTCACCTAGGAACCTTCCATAGTGGAGTGGGGATTCAAACCTGGGTCTCATAGAGCCTAATCTGACATTACCCAATAAACCATACTGACTCTGCTTAACTTTGCTAATAAATGTCCAGAATAGAAAGGGAAACATGGAATTAGAAAGTGGTGTAACATCCCCTTCTCATTGATATCTGTTACGTTGATAGTGGTCAGAGTGGTATGTGCCAACATTAGCGTAGAGCGATGTGCAAGGTAATTTAGTAAAGGTAATGGTTTCCCTTGCTTGAAAGCTAGTCAAATCCGACTCTAGAGGGCAGTGCTCATCTCTGTTTCCAAGCCGAAGAGCCAGCGCTGTCCGAAGACTTCTCCGTGGTCATGTGGCTGGCGTGACTAAACACCAAGGTGCACAGAACGCTGTTACCTACCCACCGAAGCAGTACCTATTTATTTACTTGCAGTTCCTTGCTTTCGAACTGCTAGGTTGACAGGAGCTGAGGCCAGAGACGGGAGCTCATTCCGTCACACAGCACTAGGGTCTCGAACTGCTGAACTACAGACCTTCCGGTCTGCAGCTCAGCGTCTTAACCTCTGAGCCACCATGGCCCCTTTCAAGGTAATTAAGAGTGGTCTAGTATGCTGTGTGTTGCATGGAAATAATAAACATGCGATTCTACAGTAACGGGTTACTAGTACAGAGAGCCAGTTTGGTATAGTGGTTAAGAGGGGTGGACTCTAATCTGGAGAACCGGGTTTGATTCCCCACTCCTCCACATGCAGCCAGCTGGGTGACCTTGGGCCAGTCAGTTCTTTCAGAGCTCTCTCAGCCCCTTAAAAAAGTCTAGCACACCACTAGCATAATGGTAAGAGAACTTGCGGCTACAGAACAATCTTTGGATCTCGTGGCTATTCTATACACAATGTTGTATGAGAATTGTTAATTATTTGGGTTACTACGTTACAGACGTGGGGAGAAATCACAATGAAATATAAACTTGATATACACCTTATTTTGATTTCATACCAAAGACTTCCTCTGAACCTTGCAGAACTATTTTATCATCTACATATCTAATAATGAAGTATGGTTCCCAATCCTTGAACAGGGAGCCACACTAAACAGATTTTCCTGCAAACTTGGTGCACTCTCCTGGTGTGCAGAAAAATCTGAAATCTTTAAAAAAAATACTCTGGAGAGTTAAATTTGCCCCCAAATAAAAGATCATTCTCTGTGCTACCGACCTCTGTTACCCCAAGACAGCTTTATTAAATAAATATCTTGCCTTTGCTTTGGGGAATTAGCCACAAAGGCAGAACTAGCAAGATATAGCGTGGATCTGCTATCAATTTTTATGGAGATAGCTCCCTTCAGACCCTTACTTTAAGGCAATGACCAGTCCAAATTGTAACAGACATGGGTTTTATTTAACTAATAATAATAATCTAGATATTTACATTCAGATCAGAGGCTGCAAGCATACAAGAAGATATAGAAAGCAGACAGAGGGGGTTGGGGAATGTCAGGGTAATACTATACCTATCCTGAACAGATGAAGGAATCCAAGGTATGATGAGATGTGTGGACCGACCAGCAAGACCACAGGGGACCTGAGTTGTGCTCAGTGGTGTTAGCTTTGTGCACACCCAGCTAAAGTCACACTGGGCATGTGCAAGACTGGGTATATTTATACTCCAAAATGTACCCTGAAGGTACGTTAAAGTGTGGTAACTAGTTTCACAATGGATTGATGGGATTCCCATTGTGGAATAATAGGGCAAACTGTTGTTTCCCTGGTACCAGACAAAGGAGGAGAAAATCCTTTCCTTAATGTTTAACAGAATGAAGCTGAATGGATTACCATTCTACATCAATATTTAGCTTGATGAGTCTGGCATAGGTGAGAGAAATGCAGATACCTTAGACACATATATGGAGACAGGTTTGAGGGGATTATTCCAATGGTATTTCCTGAGTTCCAGGGTGTGAAAGGATTTGGGACATGAAACATACAACATATTCCATTCATGACAGTGTCCAGTGGCTCTTTGTCCCTACTTGCCTGTACATTTGACAGACAAAAGACTAGCCATTTGGTCAGTAGAAGTTGCCTAAGGCAAGGGCAGAGATTTGCCCATTCTTAGTCCTTTTGGACTGAGCTGACAGGAGAGAAGAGTGTGTGGGGGGGTGTCGCATGGAGGATGTCTGACCATGCAGCTGTCCTGGTGCTTGGCCTAAGCTTTCCCAGCCAAAATATGGTTCTCCTAGCCTCCCAGCAAAAGCCACTGTTTAAGCCAAGCCTGGCTTTATGAGGTTCAGAGGTTGTTTTGGGGGGTTTATCTCTCCGGGTCTGTGCTGCTGGTTACACCTCCTGCATGGTCTTTAGTGGCAGCAGTGCGCCCAGTGGCAGATGTGGCAAAGCCCAGGAGCTGTGGTGAGCCCAACTACAGTGGAGCCATGGCAGACTGGATGGTTGCTGTGGTGGAACTGCAACAGACTAGCTGCAACGGAGGCCAGGAGTTGCAACATGCCCAGCAAGATGGAGGAGGGGGAATGGGATTTCCCCCCCCCCGAATCTCAATGGTCCACACTTGTACATTCTAATAATGCTATGTGGCACCATCTGAGGATACTTAAATCCAGAGATTGGAGCCATGGACAGATAAGACATTGTGCTCACTTCGGCAGCACATATACTAAAATTGGAATTGGACAGACAAGACATATCTTTCAACAAACCTGGGAAATATCTCAGGTTTGCAGAAAAATCTGAAATCTTTTTTTTTAAATTGAGGGAGTAAAAAAAAACCCAAAATGATAAAAGGAGTGCTTGTACCTTTAATAAACAGATGCCCTCAGTTGGCTAGGCATTCTGGACTTGGTTTCTGTCAGTAAAGGGCAGGGGGATGGGCGAGGCCCTTTCCAGGGATATATTGGCCTTTGAGGGAATACTCATTAGGGTCAGGTGGCAACCAGCAGACCATGAACAAAAAAGGGAAACAAACTTAACCCTGAAAACTAGGATCAAGAACCTAAAAAGGTAAGTCAAATTGAGTAGAGGGCCAGCAATTAAAACGTAATGTATAAATAATGTGTAAAAATACATGCATTTATTTGTAAAGAATTAAAAAACATATAGGGGCCCACTCATACCTCATGAAAAAGTTCCAAAATCATATATACACAAGGGCCAATGGACCAACAGGCAACTTGCTATCACCTGACCTGCATGGCTCATCCAGGCCTGGCTGCTTGCTACCGTTCAACAGCAGCCACCCCACAAAAGCCAGTTTGATATAGTGGTTACAGTTTCAGACTAGGGCCTTGAATGTCCATTATGCTGTGGAAATGTACCGGTTGACATTCTTACTGGTTATACATTCAGCCTAACTTGCTTCACAGGGTTGTTGTGAGAATAAAATGGAAGAGATGAGAATGGTGTAAGCCGCACTGGGTCCCTATTATGGAGAAAGATGGGATATAAATTAAGTAAATAAGATGGGAAGCAGATAAAAGGTAGACTGGAGAGTGGGTGTGAAGGAGAGAAGGAAGCAGGGAAAGGTGAGGATATGGGAGCTTCTAAGATGAGGGAATAGTGTGGGGAGGGGAGGTAGGACAAAGTGGGGTGCCCCCTGCAAGTCCTCGCAGGTTCTCCCCCAGCTTTCTTGGGGAGAGGCTGCCAGAGGAATGAAGGAAAGCTGAAGTCAGACCGGCAGATAAAGGTAGGTTGGTTGATGGTTGGAGATAAGGAAACAAGAAAAGGGGAGGGGCCAAGGGGGCTTTTTGGAAAGGGAAAGGGGACGTAGTGAGAGACAGGAAATGAAATGCCCCACCCCCCCTCCGCAAGTCCTTGCAGGTCCCCCACGTGTTTCTATAGGACATTCACGACTCTGGAAAATTAACAGGCTGTAAAAGAGACTGAGAGAGATCTGAAGTTATATTTTCCCCACTTGAAGTTCAAATAGGTCCCCACAGGCTTCGAAGAGGGCGGTGAGTGGCCTGTAAAAGATACACTTAAAACAGATGCAAATTCTCCTGTATTGAATCTCGAAAGAACAAATTAAATTAGATGCCGCTCTCTCACACACTTGTGCTCGCGGGAAGAATTACTCCTGTAATTCAAGAGATTTTCCTGGCCTTGAGGTTGCTCTCGTGTCTTCCCCCCACTCTTGTCACCCAGTTCCCATATTACATTGTTCTCTGA